AAAAATATTTTAATTTTTGTTCATTTATACTAATTTTGTTCCATATAGTTTTCACTTTTATTTGTACAATTATCCCATAGGTAGTTTTGACATACCTAATGTATTTTATCCTGTGATGTTCACTTTCATCGACCTTATTCAAATGACCGTCATTTTTCTGTTTATCTTGTTTATCGCCTCCCTGTCGATGAAATGAAAATCTGTTCCCGGATCTTCTGTCCATTTTTCCGTAGTTAGGTTGTTATGTTAATTGTTGTACAAACTTTATGTAGTAAGTATTTGGATTATGGTGGTTCCAGTTATGGGTTGTATTTTATAAAGATTTATCATAAGAGAAGATAAATAACAATACCATTGTTTTAAATTTCCCGGTGTATTTTCTACTTTTGTCCTCACATCTTTGTTATAAGTATATTGAATATGACAATGATTGATTTATGAACATTTAATCTTATTCAATTTCTAAATTCCACCGTAATATCACATAAAATAAATTACTCCAATAAGCGGTAAATCGAATTTATTCATGCCGCATTACAAATTAATACTAAGCCACGCTATTATATCCACTGATAATACGAGAATGTGAACCTTAAACATTCCCAAGTTACAGTATGGTAATGCTGTCAATATGGTATTGGTTATTTCTAACTAGTAAAGGAAGCACGCAAAGGTTTGATATATATCAGAAGAGACATATGCTACTGAAACACAACATGAAGATAAAGCCTTTCACGTTAATTCCAGAGCTTTTTTATACTGTAATTAAGGTGGATAAATGCAACTGGTGTATAATTTAGATATTGGCTAAAGTTATATGTACAGTACGTAAACATACGCGCCTAAAACATTTTAATGTCGATTCCATTATGATGACGTTGATGAGGATAATGATGATGGTGAAGATAATAATAATGATGATGATGATGACGAAGATAAAGACGGCAATAGTAATGATAATGAATGGTATAATGATGGTAAGTTGTTGGGGGTAATGTGGTTGAGTACTTATTTAAAGATTTAGATGATGTAATAATAATAATTGTGATGATAATGATGATGAAGATGATCTAGGTGTATAGTTGTTTTATTGTTGTTGATGATGAGGTTGATGATGACGGCAAATATACTGAGTCTAAAATGTTACCGGTTTAAACTCCCCAGCAGTACTTGTACTGCTGATCATTCCAAGGCGGCGCCCCTCTGTGTTCCTCAAATGTATGTCTATGTTGTTTCATACTGTTTTGGTGACATATTTGCTTGTGTCCCTTGTTGTTTTCTCGTTTACGGTAAGTATCTTTCCCTTTGCCCCTACTTTTTATTTCTTCGATTTACCCCCCCCCTTCCCCCGGTCTCCTGTCCCCCTGTGTCCTTTGTGGGCCTATTATTAAATCATGTATTTGTTTCCCTTATCTGTTACAAATTATTTCCTATTATTTAATCATTTATTTGTTTTATTTAAAATCCTTACTACTTACAAATATTTTATCATTTTAATGATTAACCTGTCCGTGCCTTGTCCTGTTTTTGGGTCCGCCTGGGCTTCTTGCCACTGGTTCTTGTTGCAGGGTCGTGTAGGGGTTGCGTTCATTGAACGCCGCCTTTCCTTGTTGATCTTGTTTATCATAGTTTATGATGATGAAAATAATGTGTATGTTTTAATATTCTTGTGTGATACTTTTATTTGCATTTGATATTTTTTCTAGTCGCCATGACATTGTGTCTATTCGCCATGACACTGTTTCTAATCGCCCTGACACTGTGTCTAATCTCAATGACACTGTGTCTAATCGCCATGACACTATGTTCTTATGTAATTTCAAAACACATTCCATTTTCAAATTTTCAATTAAAAATACCAAAATTATGAAAATGAAAATTTAACGTCTTAATTGACATCTAGCCTTAGGGTGACAACTTTGATAAGCCATTAATAAAATATATATTATATTGCATAAAAAATAATTTCTGAGCATTTAAACTTGAATGATAAACCAACTCGTTCTATTGGTTTCGTTCAATCAAAATAAATCAAGGTTAATTTGCCTTTCTAGCAAGCAAATGTTTGCTTACTCCTCATGACAGTTTTATTACCGATGTTAAGTATAAATACCATTAAATAGTAATAAATATATAATTTGCATGAGATTGGATCATTTACAAATACCATTAAAATATCAGTAAGCTGATGACATAGATTTGGTTAGAAATAATGTCAAATTAATACCTATCCCTAAATAGCGTTTCTATGACAGAAGAAAAGATCAAAATAACAACGCTTTATGTTAGGCACTTAAATATGTGTTTTATAATTAAATGGAGTGAATCACATTCTTGATCCGTTCAATCTTAAACCCCAGTCACACTAGAGCTTAAGATTACTTGCGACCACCGGCGACTTCTAAAACTGACGATCATCAGCGATTGTCTGCGACCAAAACCATTTTTGCACGTATAAATTTACTTCTGCGACTATCGTAAGACCAGTCACCATTGACAATCGCACGACAGGTCATAAGCAAACGTACGATGGTCTCAAGATTGTGTGGGATTACTTACGACTACCCGTGACCTGTCAACTAGTCGTACGACCATCACACGATTACTAAAGACTACTCAAGATTATCAGTGACTAGTGGCAATTTGTAAAGACTGTCGTAAGATTGTCGCACTTCTGAATGACCATCGTGCGACAGCCTAAGACCTAATAAGATCACTAGCGACCTGTTTGATCGCAAGGAGGTTTTTGTGCAAGCTCAAAAACCTCTCTACGACTGATATTGGTCGTGAGACCTAAATAAGATAACCTGCGACTGTCAAAGATCACCGATGACTGTCGTAAGACGTTTAAAAGATTGTCCGCAACCAGAGGTCACTGGTGATCGTGAACTGGTCTTCAATGGTCGTAAGCTCTAATGTGACTGGGGCTTTACATGTAAGTATCTTATTTGTATCTTTTTTTCTTTGTTTGTTTGTTTGTTGTATTTTCTTAAAATTGATATTCTGGGTTGATTTTTAATTGATATTGTGTGGTGGTGTTATATGATTGAACACATAATCAACAGAATAACAACTCTAACTTTTAGTTTTAGTAAAAAAGAAGACAAAAGTCACCGCAAATCTATTGTTTATGTATCCATTTAATATCTTTATGCATTGAACAACATAATAAAATATAAAAAACACATTTTTTGTGAAGTGACTTTGCAGTATTGGGAAGTCAATTTGTTGAAAAACAAATATCAAAACATTTGAGATTTTATCAAAAATAATAAGCATTTTCATATTTTTTTTTAATATCTATTTCATAGAATATAAGAGAAGAACGAATGACAAATTAAAGATAAAAGGTAATATTTAAACGTTGTAAGACAATAGAAAACTGCGTTTGTTAAACTTGTAATTAACTTTAGAAAGCAAACTGCGTTTGTAAAACTTGAAATTAACTTTAGAAAGCAGATAAATTATTTTAAATAAACAAAACACAAAGATTCGTCAAAATAACTCGACATTCTCTATTATGAAAGTTGCATATGTCATTGTTATTTTTTATGCGATTTATTGAAATCAAGATGACATATTAAGTGTCTTGAAATCTTTTTATCATTAATATTCTTTCTGAAGCAATTTGTCATTACTGAACGTATTTAAAGAGTTAGAGATCTAATAACAGATATCTATTATAACCTTATATATGAAACATTAACAAAAATCAAAGGACTGGACAACGTGTTGAAGCTGCGAAACCTACATGGATGTAGGAAGTCTCTGTACAAGATCACAAGAAGTTAAATATATCATAAAATGAATAATAATCCCCTTTTTCCTAACATGTCTGTAATTCGTCCGATTGGTTAAAATTAATAAAAACGCACGCCAGCTTTAATTAAACCGGTTTATAAACCAAAGTGGCTGATGCGATCTCCTGTTCTCACATATTTCCGAATTAAGCATTATTAAACACCTTCACAGATAAAATGTGTAATATCAAATTTTAAAATATTCTAAGTTAAGGAAGTTACATTCATTGTGACACTTACGTGTCATTCAATGAAAGATGGCGAGTTGTTCCCGTTAAAGAAATGTGCAAACCAACCGAAAAGGCGAGTTGTAAAAGTGGAAAGAGGTTATGAATCCTGAGTAGCACAAATTTAGAGTAGGTAACGTAGTAGGAAAACAAAAACAACCAGTATATAAATTTCGGAGATAAAAGATAAAAAAGTATTCGTCATCAAATACCATCAAAGATCAAAAATATATTATAGATATATTATAACGGATGAACATAACTTTAAGAGGCCGTCTACTTCAAAAATAAAGATTTTTGAAAAACAATATTGCAACGTGTTAAAACATATCATTTAATATGTTTATTTTCACATTTGTTTGCGTTATCGTTAATTTCCGCACTTAATGCACGAAGCTCTGTCTGACAAGACGTATTTCCGGAGTTGTAATAAATCATTTGTGGATATCCAATGATTTAATGACAAAACAATTAAAACAGTTCGATCACATCTCAACGTTACTATATTCTTGCTCCGGATAATTATGCACAATGATCTTTGCCCTGATACCTCATCTAGTATCGCATAGTTATGTTGATGTACTTATTTGATTTAGATTTCGCATGGGGTTTTATAATACATTATTAGCAAAAACTCATTATGAAATAAAATATCTAGTGACATTTATGACGAATTTATCAGTTTAGTCTATAATTAAAATTGCTTAATTGTTTACAGTACTATGAAATGCATGCTCAAGTTACGCCGACATACATCACGCAAATGTTAGACGTTGCAACAGTATTTTCGAAAATGTGATGGTCTCATAGTATGACATATTTTTTATGTTATAGTTGAAAGTTGTTTAGATCATAGTTATATATGCCTGTTTGGCCATTTTTTAAATAGTATTATAACGTTAATCATAACAAGGTAAATGCTGTATATATAACAACAAGATATAAGATAATAAAACAGAAGAATACAAACATATTTTCTCATTTTAATTTCAACGCAATTACACAGCCATGTTTTGTTTCATATTACACAACAAATTATCAAGTTTCTTTTGTGATCGTATATCAACAATAAATGTAATATATATTTCATGTCTGGTTTGGTTTAAAAGGCGGACTTACTTAGTTTTGATCAAATGGCTCCAAAAAAAGTTCATCAAAAATAATAATAACAAAAAATATTAGCACGAATACAATCAAAGGAATGAAAAAGGCATTGTAATATTAATATTCACATTCAAAAGGAATACAAAATGCATTGTCCCATGTAATATTCACTTCTACCAAACAAATGATTACGTTTGATATCAATGCAGTGGAATCATGACTGTTTAAGGTCAAATATAGTGTAACAAACAACAGTGATAATTAAACTAATCATTGCCTAAACTTATTAGACAGGATTTCAAATCACTTTTTATACTGTTCAAGTTGTGTCATTTTCCTCTTGGTACTCGGTTTCTTCATTTCCAACTTTGATTTCAACAATACAGTCAGAGCCCGAGTACACCGGTAAATTCAACTCGTATTTCTGTTCAAGTGTTTTTGGTACAAAACGTCCTCCAAGAAAGTGATGTTTGCCTTTGAATAACTTCGCACACATTTTAGGGGCGATAAGGGAGATAAGCATGTCTGGTTTCAGTCCATTTTCATCGCCTGCGTCAATATCCCATCCTAAAAAATTCATCAAGTATATAATACCAAAATCTTATTACTTTTCAAACTTTTCACCATTGTTAAATAGGAAAATTGTTTAAAAAGAATCATCTGAACATGATCAAGGGAAAACATTTTTTTTTTGAGAATAATACAAACAAAACCAATTATATTGACTAAGTTCTGTGCCCTATTCTACTAATCACGTGTAATCCTAGTTGTTGTCGGCGTTTGACTTCCGTTAACACTGCTCTGTTCTGTTCTTTCAATTGGTGATTTTTTTACACATTTATATCTTTTATTGCATTTTTAACATTTCAACTTTTGCCATTGAAAAACAAGATTAACTCATAGAAAAGGTATTGAAGATTTTTGATAAGGTGCGTAGTGACATCAAACCAGAGGCATAGAGATGTTATCTTTATCTCTGATTAAACATATAAATGAACCCTAAATATAAACTATATTGGAATGTTTATCATATATGTGTACAAGTAATGCTATTTTTCTAAAAAAAGATTAAAAAAACTAGGAGGTACTCTCAAAGTCATGATCGCTAGCAAGAGAGATGTTTGCTTTTCAGAGACATCTATCACATTATAAGGACATTATGATTTACACCATGTATATGTTTTTCTCTTGTAAAAGAATGTAGTATAAATTAATTTTAATATCATACATTGACTCTAATGACGGTTTTAAATGTTTTTTGTTATGTTTTCAGAAATAGGTAATGCTGAATTTCAAAGTTTCATACAGCTATTTATTTAAATCATGTATTATACTATGGCCTTTGTATCTGAATATCCGACATTTCTGCACATTATGTTTTTACTATTTCGTGTCGTATTGATGCGTTGGCATGATAGCTTTGTCCACATGTCCACAAGTGCAATTCTGTTTCCTTTTATTTATTTTAGTTAAGGTAAAATTATAAGAAGAACCTCGTGTTACATAGCTGTACGAATAGAGCCATTTTTTTTTTGTTTCAGTGTTGAAAATATATAATTAGTCTTGAATTCCTTCTCTAGGAGTGAAACGTGTTTTCAAAGAAACTGATCGCTAAAAATCTCTTCTTTTTTGCCTCAAATATCCCGTAAAGTAAGAGAAAACGTATAATCATCTTTTATATGCATATTCTTTACGTATATAAGACCGATTACTTTATCAAAAGTATTCATCTTATTTAACTTTTTCGACAGATCATCCGCTTATTCATAACGTACTATAGTTAAATGGGTTTCTTTCGGAAAAATAATTATACAAGACCATTACCAGAAGGAATATCTATACTGCAGATGGGTATTTCAATTTTCTTTAAGGTTTCAATAACAGATTCCATTTCTGGTTTAATAGGAGCTGCAATGTAAATAAGCATTGTGTCAGAAATATAAAGAGAACATTTACAAATATACAAATGACAAATATATTTAAAAAATGAGCTGTTATATGTAATTATGTTACACAGACTCTTATTATTTCAATTGTCCATTTGTATATATTCACGTGCATTTTAAACTGTTGTTAAGGTGACCTATAGGCCTATAAGGCCGGGTGTTCTTTATTTACATTGTATATATGTAATTTTCATGTACGAAAACACATGTCACTATAATAAAAGATTATTATTATTATTATTATTATATTTATATATACTGTATACTTTTTAAAAGTTATTCAAATATCACAGACGAAAATAAATATATTAAGTAATACACACGTACATCAATTTAATTCTTACAAAACCTGTTTGCGTTTCTAAGATTTTATAAAATTAAAGTCATTTGTTTTCTCCTTTTCTACTTTTGATCGACTCATCTATACACTTCGCTTTCTTGAAAATGTTTTTCCTTACTCTTCTTGACATAAACAGACGGTTAATAAATTCCAGTAAAAATATCTAGCAATTATAACAAGGCCTTGAAAGGAAAAACATGCACATGCGCTCAAAGGTCAAATATTGATACTATGCAAATTAGTATGCTAAGAAGTTCGCTTTGCACGGCAAAATTGAAAAAAAAGAGTTGGAGATTCGGTTCGATTAACTCTGTCCATTGTCGATATTGGCAAATGAAAAATACCACAAGCAAATGATCCCCTAGCAACGGGTTAAAAAGAAAATGACTTTTGAATATAAAATGATATTTAAAACCTGAAACTGCAGTGTATAGATGTTAGATTTGTATGATGGTTACATACTTCTTATTGTGTTTTTTTGTTGTTCTTTTGTTGTTGTTTTTTTAATGAGCGTGGGGAGTAGACGCATGTAAATAAAATGACGTAAATGTCCACCTGCTGCGCACAAAAATTATTCTAGATAAAAGTCAATATTGCGATGTAAATATTTTTACATTTTCTGTCAAGCTACATGTGTTTTTTTGATACATATTAAATTGAGAAATATTTCATTAGGAACGAGTAATTTTATTTGATTTAACGCACTTTTAATAATTATTTTTTAATCTTGTCTTATATAATTTAATCATCGTGTTCTTTAAAGTAAGGGTTCTAAGATAAATGGAAAAAGAAAAAAGAATTACATCACATCACATTACCTTTAAAGCCTAATCCAAACAATGCATCGACAACAAAGTTATACGAGTCTGTGATTAGATTTGGTTCAGACGGAAAAAATGACAGAAGAGGAATGTCTAAGCTTTCACACTGTCTAAACAATCTCTTAAACAAAGGCTTGTTTGCTTTCCGTGGATAAAATAAAGTCGGCTTATATCCCTGGAAAAAATAATAATGCATTAAGGCATTACATTACGGAAGGAAAACGAAGTCTATATTAGAATATAGTTAAATTGTATTGCTGTCAAGTTAAATTTGAAGGACAAATTAGACTGCTAAATTTGATGAGATAGCTTTTCATTACATACCCATAAACCGAGGTCATTTCTGCTCATTAAGGAAGTTTTTTTCAGACTGCTAAAAACGGGAGCAAGTGTGGATTGAAGCTTATACAGTAAATCCCACTTAAAACGTTGTCGTTTATAACGATATACTGCTTAAAACGATGTTGTTTATAACGATATACCGCTTATGACGATGCTGTTGACGTGATTCCGACTCTTGTTTTCAAATTAGTTGCATCTCTGATATAACAATATAAATTAGGCGGTACCCTTGAATATCTTTATAAATTGAGTTTATTGTATGTCATCGTGCGCTAAATAAAATTATGAACACACATCAGTTGGAAATTCAGGGGAGATTATTAATCATATTAAATTTCAGAAAAATATTTTTCATTCATAAAGCTTCTTTGCACTGATCCTTTTATTAAATATAATTTTACAGAAACTTCCATTAGAAACCATAGCTATCATTTGTATCAAGTTCGTTATAAAAGAAACGTTTTTGTGAAAAAAGCATAAGTAATATTTTCTTACAATAAGTGAATAAACACAAATATCAATTACCATGACAACGAATATAAGATTTATATTAATGGCACATCTTGCTTTAGAAGTGAATCATATTTCTTTTATTCGTTATAAAGATCTAAAATGTAATTAATGATGTTTTAGTAATGGATTTATAGCATGTTACATGTATATGTTAAACTACTAAAGGACTGCAATTATGTGTAAGCAAGATAGTAAAACATGGACAAAGTAATTTTTCGACTTCCATACAAAATCACTGTAATAATATCAATTGCCAAAGAGCAAAATGAGAACAAGCTATATAGCTTATGAGTGATGTTTTAGCAACTGCAACAAGTTGTTAGGAAATCTGTTAACATAGTGATCCTCGGAAGCATTAATCACAACAAAATTACATGAACATTGCAGACTCGGTATTATATAGTCTGTACATGAGGGATAATGAATAAGTGCAAATCCCTCACTCCCTCTAACACCGGCTTCAGTGGTACTCAATTCTCAACACCTTATAGTGCTGGCATCAATGATCCCGAAGGACCAGAACAAATATTGCAACACTGAAGTGGAGAACGGTGCAATATTTTACAGCTGCCACACAGCACTTGATACCTGATGTTGTGAAGTATAAAATCTGGAAACAAAGTGATCCCTCGGAAAGATTTATCATATCAAAATTACATGAAAATTGCAGAGTCGGTTTGATTAAGTATGTACATGAGGGATAATGAACAAGTGTAAATCACACTGAAAGTGCAATAACACGTTTTTTAATATAATTGATTTTGGGGGTTTAATGGGGTAATCATCAAACAGTACAAAATTCTAAAACAATTACGTACAAACATTTTCAGATGTCTGGCACACACAAGCCCATCTCCGCCATTATGTCCCGATCCACAACAAACAAGGACAGCAGGATTTTCTCGTGACATAACTTCAACTGGATAACACTTAAAACATATAAATAAAGTGAATTCATAAATATGTTCTGTACTATTTTTTTCGAAATAACAATTGATGAATAGGAATATTGCAACATAATAATGATAAAGGTCATAACATGGTAAAACATAGAACAAATGTTGGAAGAACATAAAACATATAATTGAAGATAGTTGAATCACAGTGCTTCGAAATGCTGCAACGGTACGATGATTAAATGTTATCAATAGTCGAGTCAATAACACTATCTTACTAACTGTTTTCATTTTTGCAGACATTTTACAATTATTCAGTAATACACGTTAACGTTATTACGCTATAACGTCATGTTTCTTTATTGCTGTCATGGGTGACCGATTTCAGTGAGTCTCTATAATTCTATTCGTAAAAATGAGGCTAGTTCAAGAAAGTATCTGCCCAGTTCGAATACATTTAAAGGTCTATTAAGAATACTCGTAGAAGTGCCCCATCAACCAAACTTTTCAATTAAGTAAAAGTATAAAGAACCAAACTCATGATACTCGTCTTATACTAACAATAGTCCTACAAGACCATGTGTCAGCGTTTAAGTATCACACAATGTGCCATCGTATTTTAAACGTTTTTATTTGTTACATTTTTAAAATCATTGTGTGCAGTATTACAATCAAGAGCTCAGACACAAAACCGTTCCCGTTGATAGCTGCATTGATGGTTCAATAAAAGCGGGAGTAACAGCTTAACCCGCTCTAAGTGGCAACACTTTTTAATAGCAATGTCATTCATATATCTTGCTTGTGTTTTGTGTCAAATATTTTTCTATAAATGCTTTAATACATGATTGTAATAATCCCGCTTTTCTTTATTTAAATACCATGATAATGTATGCGCAAATAACAAAAAAAATCCAATGGAATCAAAAGACCTTGCGAACAATTAAGTTCAAATTATGTAAATGAACTTACAGTTGCTATAGCAACAGCGCAACTATATCCCGACAACTCCAGGAGTTGATCGACGGTTAAGGCATATTCTGTGAATAGTTCTTGGTTTATATCGTGTGCTTCTTTCTGACTGAAATGAGATAAGAAAAATAAAATACATAATGAATATATATGTCTAATGACCTTAAACTGATGGTTTCAAAGGAATAGCACTGCTCAAATTACAACAAAATATTTGATGAAATTTGACTCTGTAATGATGATTACAGGAAAGCTCATATTGTTGTTTTATGTTTCAGATTTATTGGTAGAGCTCCTTTTATTAATGTTGTGTAAATAATATATGTTAATAAAAGAAAGAAATAAAAAATCGTTATATGATATCGATAGTATTAGGAAATGCATGTACCTATTTTAGAACATTCTTGACAAGTGACGAAGTGTTGATTACGGTTACGTATTTACAGATTTACTGATATTATTATCACTATTATTGTTATCGTTAATATTGTTATTGTTATTATAATTATTATTATCATTATTATTTTTATTATTATTATTATTATCGTTATCGTTATCATTATCATTGTTATCATTATTATTATTATTATTATTATTATTATTCCATGCATACCAAATGTGAAATTCAATTGAATTTAGATTGATTTCTTTGACAATCACTTGACATGATTTGAATGGATTTCAATTTTATGACAATGCTTTGACCTTGACTCGTTTTTTTTTCAATAGTGTTTTTAAACAAAACATGAAGTCAATCCGATTTTCTTCTTTTACTTAATTAGGCGCCATCTTCCGTTTGTAGTATAACTAACTGATGATCTATTCAATAAGACAGGGAACAATTAACAAGATTACTAGCGTTAAAAGGGAAAGCCCGACTGTAGCCATACATGATAACATTGATAAAGTGGCAGATGCAACAATCTCCCATCCTAGTAAATATCACCCAGTAATTCAACGTAAAAAGTGACATTATGCCCATCGAAGAGTAAATGGTTAATTAAAATAACTTCACGATTTGTCAGTGTTTTTTTTTATTTCACTTTCATCATCAACGTCATTGAAGTAAGCAGTAACGCACGTGACCCATCTATAAATGGCATTTGAACATTACCGGTAATGCTCATTCTTTTAAAGGAAAAGAGTTTGGCAGTCTTTTTATATTTAAGGCAGTTTTATATTATTGTTCAACCACATTAAAAAGCCAGTCTTTTGAAATATACAATTTATTTATCTCATTTCGACATAATAAAAAGGAGCATAATGTCAAATAGAAAAATTGTTAAATATAAAATTCAGGAAATCCTCAGGTGTATTCTTTATACGACAGAGATGATGAAACCTAAAATGTGAACCCTACGTGTCATTACATTAAAGGTGGTCTTTGGTTCACAAATATAAGAAAGTCTGTACACCTATATGTGAGTGGGAATAAGGTCATGAAGTCTGTGTATCACACATTTAAAACAGACAATGTATTAGGAAAACTAAATCAACCAGTATAAAACTGCGCAAGTGAAACATATAAATACATGAAATAGCATCAAAGTTAGAAAATATATTATATCTTTCATTTTTTAAAACTTTGTTTAAATATGATTTTTTTCAAAACAGGTAATATAAATAGTCAGGTATGATTAAGATAAATGTTCTTGGAAAAGGGTAATCCCTCGAGATCAATAATATCATTATTCAGAGCAAAACGTAATAAATGAATATCACGAAAATATAATATGTTCGTTAGAGATGATGTAAAGAGCAGCATGTTTTATCCTCCAGCAAAGGCTTATTTCAATATTTAATACTAAATGTAATAAAGTCAAGGATCCCAAAAGACCAATGAAATGTAGAAGTCATTTAATGAAATCATACTTCACTCGTGATGAACAGTTTTGATATTTAGATATGATTTTCATTCATCCACACTGGAAAGTATTTTATAGTACATGCAAAACTAACATGCTTAATACGTTCATGCCTTTCAGTAGACATAAATACATAGGCATTTTTTCTCTGAATATTGCGGCGTGAAGTCGTGCGATGTATTTTCTTTACAGTCATCAGTCATTTGGAATAAACAATACCTTTGTTTTCATCGCTTGACAAATAATATTCTTGTCAAAAATACTTTATATTATATAGTGGACAGCTTACAAATCTCGTGTTTTCGTCTTTTTTCTCTCTAAGTTATATTTGTCTTGCAAGCTAATACAAATTGTTATTATGAAAATACATATTTGAAATAGTGCCCCTTTTACCGCAAGATTTGTCAGGGACTGTTTGACTTTCAATCACAAATAAGGATGAAATATTTATTTGTTTATAAGTAAATAATGTAAATTTCCTGCAAGGTTATGTACAGTTAATATGTTAAAAATTTCGAACACAAAACAGCCTTTTTCATCCAGCCGATTGTTTGATTTTATTACGCTGTAATTAATCGGATGTCTGTGATGTACTCCTGGTTTGATTAAATCCCCCGGGGGGATTATGTTTATCGTAAGTGAAGACGACGATACGTTTTAATCAAGCTGAGAGATTGTAGAGACTGCACGTTTGTCTAGCAAAATTATATATCCTTGCACAGAAACTTTAATTTAACAATCAGCGGATGGAAATGAATTAAGTATGAAAAGTACATAAAGGTATCGTCATCTGTATGCAAAAGCGGGTTAACTCATAACTCATATTATAAGGATGTTTAAGAAGGTGTCTGTTAAACTTACATGTCACATTGTGTGAAATCTCATTTTGAGAAATTTAAGAATATTTACTATTTTTTTAATAAGACATAACTAGAAAAATATGCTCTCTATGCTGCATGTATATTGCATCATTATGGTCAACTGAACCAGTCATTCATTTATCAATATTTATTTTCATATTCATTTGTTTATCAAGTTTATAAAGAATTTTGATTTATTTCTACTTATAAGTATAGATAATATATGTAAATTATTTTACTGATTACCATTTCATTGTATTTGCTTCTGAATTTCTGAATATTTAATCGACTCATTATTTGTCAACTATCTTAACCGATTGGAATGATAAATGATGTTGTTACTGTATCTAAATAAGGATAGGATAGGATAGATAATTTTATTGACGTAAACAGTACAGTTTTTTGTCATACAATTGCATATACATAAATATCATAATTTTATCATGTGATTTAACAAACAGTGAACACAATTCACATTGTCAACATATTGTTTGTGGAGGATGAATAAGATGTTTACATATATATGAATCAATATCATAAACAAAATCAAAGTGAAGTAAATTCCTTCCATAAAATTGGCAAAGTTAAGAAAGCAAAGACTTTCTAAGTATAAAAGCATTGTAAATAAATTTGGAAAGATTTCTAATTATAGCTTGATTATAACTCTTAAAAAGCTCTGTAAATTTAATAACATTTGGTCTTCTATAAAAATATGCTTTGATATATTGTTTTCTAAAATCTTCGTACAACGGACATGATATAACAAAATGGTATTCATCTTCAATATCTCTGTTTTGACAAAAAATACAATAACGCTCATTTCGTTCAACTCTGTTTCTGGAATAGCGTCCAGTTTCAATAGCCAGTTTATGTGAAGATAATGTTAATTTTGATAAAGCATTTCGAAACTTGAATGGCAATAAATCTAAATATGGTTCAACTCTAAATTCTGTTTTAAATTGCTTAATATACATAAATAATGTTTCACATTCTTGCAATCGTTGACACCAGTTTTGTTTAAAAGTATCAATTAGTCGAGCTTTAAAAAAGTAGATGAAATTTACCTAGATCAACACAGGATGGGTTGTTCCAAACATATGAAAAACCATAGCAGTCCAAAATACTTTTAACTTGATATGCCCAGTCATTTTTGATAACATTACATTTACAAAAAATATCATATAATCTGTTTAATAATATATTTGTAGACGATACAATTTTACACCAGAATTTAATAATGCGTACATATCTGTTAATGTAAAGCGGAAAGCGCCCTAATTCACCATACACACCCATATTTGTACAACAAGATTTAACATTTAATAACATTGTGCAAAATTTCAGATGGATCCGTTCAATTTCTTTTGACTTACTGAATCCCCAAATTTCGCAGCCATAATTAAGAGTAGCTGTTACAAAAGCATCAAAAGTTGGCATATAACACTAGGTTTAAGATTTAATCCCTTTATATTATGCATCAAAATATTAAGGGCCTTAATGCCTTTACCAGCCAATGTTTCTTGGTTTAATATGAATGTACCCGTATAGTTAAAAACAATCCCAAGGTAATTAAAATTATCAACTTTTTCTATGTTTTCAGTATTATATGTCCAATGCTCATTTTGCTTTATGTGACCTCTTTTCCTAAAAACAATTATTTTCGTTTGAGGGTATTTACTTCTAGGCCCCATTTGTTACAGTATGTATATAATAAATCTAGACTATTTTGAAGATCGCAAACAGTGTCACTTAAAATAACTATGTCGTCTGCAAAAAGCATTAGAATAGAAGTAATATCATCTAAGGTTTAACCACTGTCATGCCCTCTTTGTAAAAATTGCTCAAGATCATCAACAAATAATGAGAACAATAAAGGGGACATAACCTCTCCTTGTTTTAAGCCTACAGCACACTCAAAATAGTCCGAATATGAGTTACAACCCTTGATACAAACTTTAACTTGTGAATACATGTCCCTTAATATTCTAAATAATTTTCCATCAATACCTAACTTATGCAATTTTAGCCATAGGCCGTTTAAATACACACTATCAAATGCTCTTTTCATATCAACCATACAACAATACAAACGTTTATTTTCATTTAAAATCTTATGTACAACAGCGTTTAATACAAATGCTGCATCTACCGTAGAACGACCCTTGCGAAAACCAAATTGAGCATCGCTTAGTATATCATTTTTTTCGGACCAATCATTCAGTCGTTTATTTAAAATTCCAGTAAAAATTTTCGATAGACAACTAACAAGTGTGATGCCTCTATAATTCCGTTAATCGCATGGGTCGTTCTTTTTAAAAATAGGCACTATAATACCGTTAGACCAATCAGATGGAAAATGTCCAGAATTCAAAACTGCATTAAAAATATCTACCAAATGTGCCGAAAGTATATCATAACATTCTATAAAGTGTTCATTTAATAAATTATCACTACCACAAGCTTTATTTCTTTTTAGTATTTTAACAATAAATTCGACTTCAGTAGTTGTGATTGGCTTATCTAACTCTTCAAAACTACACCTATTTGCATCAAAATCAAATTCTGAACAAAATTCCTCAGCTTCATTATTCACAGGGGTTTGAAATTCATTTTGTAAACTTGAAAAATATTTCAAAAAATCATCTACAGTTAATGTGCCACTTCGGTGTACGCTGAAGACACAAACCCTTACATCTTAATAAATGATCTTAAAATATCTGCAACATCATTTTTCCAAACTGAAAGTAGTATTTATCGTATTATAATATTAATTGGCTGGATATTAAATAGAATTAGACTCATATTCAATGACCATACATCGTAGACTGTTAATAACGTGTGCGCATAAGTGTTGCATTTCGGTCTTTATGACATATTTCTAAATGCACATATCACTTTCCTGTCATAGTTAAAAATAATATCGTTATAATGAGTAACTACTTAAATTACTCTTGTTTGCGAAGCGTTCGTGAAACCGTTGAACGCCTGACGTTTTCTTTTTACTTGCATAATTTTTCCAGAATTCAATGTCGAATGTTACTGTTAATGTTTAACCTTACCTTTGTCAGGCTATTTATGTAGTTAATCAATTATTGTTCAATTTAGCTGATATAATATAAAAAGGTATATATTTGATATATGTCTGATTGTGACAAGTAAAATGTCTTATTTTGAAACATAAATTTATCGAGCAGTGTATCAAATGAATTTAAGGTTTTTGCTTGTCAATAAAAAAGATTAAGAAAAAAAAAAAGATTGGTAAATTGACATTTACAGTGATTACGTGAAAATATTAGTATGCAAATTTCATTTAATTTACAAGCTGCGTATCAAGTGTATTTAAAGCAGCATGCCTGAAGATTCATTGCTTGAAACTTATTACATATTGCTTAATCTTATTGTATAAGATCTGTATAACAATTAATAATTATATATAAATGCATGTGTGTTAATTTATTAAATAAAGCTGTAAAGAACGAGAAGTTCATAAAGTACCCTTATTTATGTGACCTTTTTTCTAATACAGAATGCTAGATTAACTGGTCTCATTTTTTCTAGAAATAATGTTTTAATAGCCTGTCTGGTCGAAACACGTTTGCTATTTCACACAACATTTACATTTCCATAACTTTGTGTATACATCGTTTAAGCGCAATTAGCATCAATTTTGCATGTGTTCTAGGTATTTGCATTCAGCATAAAATATATATAGAAGGTCTATGACATAAAATAATGTAAAAATACACCCATCCTAAAACAACTTATCTACTAGTATTTTAGAAACGTATAATGTAAAATTGTATCCATCTAATTACAAAGTATCTACTATTATTTTCGAGATATTTAATGTGCTATCATTCGTTGTATTATATGATATAACAGATACTAATCTGGAAAGATACTTCATATTGTTTAAGATAAGAAACACAGAACAAGCATTTGACTGAAACCAAGCACATCTATTTATCGTTGTATGAAAACATTTATTGTTTACAAGATACAATTGAATATTTCCCGAGAGAAAATTGTATCCTATGAAACAATTCAAATGACAAAACAGCATAGTTGTAAGTAGTATAATGTTTTTATCACCCAAAAGATGTAATTTTAAGGGCGTATTAGTGACAAGGTTTACATTCAAAAGGAATAATCTGAAAAAAAGTTTTTCTAAAAAATAAAGTGATCTGGTACCTCCCACTTTTGAAATATTTTAACGACTAATACTTAAGAAGGTCATGGAAAGCACAGATTAACAATTACTTTGCTCGTATAATTCAAATATACAGGATAATTGATAACTCATTTCAGCAATTATTTCAAATGTAGGTACACTGATTGAGCAATTATTTCAATCAAATAGTTACTTATATCCAAATGAATGGATGTGTGCTTCTAAGTCATAAGTTTCTTCACGCATTACTCTCATAAAATTGTGTACTAACTTTAAAAAAAGCTTTCAAACTCGACTCATTCTATCTGCTGTGTAAAAAAAATCGTTTACTAATACTCATTCTTGTCCATGTAGTTTTCAATTTTATTTGAACAATTATCCCATGGGTAGTTTTGACATACCTAATGTATTTTATCCTGTGTTGTTCACTTTCATTGCCCTTATCCAAGTGACCGTCATTTTTCTGTTTATCTTCTTTATCGCCTCCCTGTCGATGAAATGAAAATCTGTTCCCGGATCTTCTGTCCATTATTCCGTAGTTACGTTGTTATGTTAATTGTTGTACAAACTTTATGTAGTAAGAATTTGAATTATGGTGGTTCCAGTTATGGTTGTATTTTTTACATGTTTATTATAAAAAAATTACTACTAGTATTTGTTTAAAATTTCCCAGTGTATTAACTACTTCTGTTGTAAGAACTTGCATAAATACAATGCAATTTTAAAAACAAATATTGTAAAACATGTCAATGCTGGATTCATGAACATAAATTCTTATTCAATTTCTTGTCCATTAAATAAATTACTCCAATAAGCGTCCGATCGCATTATTTCATGCCGTATTACAAATTAATACTAAGCCACGCGATTATATCCACTGATAATACGAGAATGTGAACCTTAAACATTCCCAAGTTACAGTATGGTAATGCTGTCAATATGGTATTGGTTATTTCTAACTAGTAAAGGAAGCACGCAAAGGTTTGATATATATCAGAAGAGACATATGCTACTGAAACACAACATGAAGATATACCTTTCACGTTAATTCCAGAGCTATTTCATACAGTCATTTAGGTGGATAAACTCATCTGCTGTATAATTAAGATATTGGCAAAAGGTTCCTAGTTACAGTTATAAATGTACAGTACGTAAACCTGTGCGTTTAAAACATTTTAATGTCGGTTCCATTATAATGACATTGATAATGATTATGATGATAGTGAAGATAATAATGATAACGATTATGATGATGAAGATAAAGACGGCGATAGTAATGATAGTGAATGATATAATGATGATGGCTTTGTTGGTAATATGGATTAATATTTAAATAACGATTTGGATGATAGTTGTAATAATGATGATGATGAAAATTTTATTTGCATGTCATATTCTTTCCTAAATTGCGATGACACTGTGTTCTTATGTAATATCAAAACACATTTCATTTTCAAGTTTTCAATTAAAAATACCAAAATTATAACAATGAAAATTTAACATCTTAATTGACATTCAGCATTAGGTTGACAACTTTGATCAGAAGATAAGATTAACTAAATTATTAAAATATATAATATTAAATTTTTAAAAAATATTTCTGGCCATTTATACTTGAATGATAAACCAGCTCGTTCCATTGTTTTCCTACGTTCAAAATAAAATAAATAATAAAAATTATTAATGGTTAATGGTTCATTTGCCTTTCTAGCTGGCAAATGTTTGTTTGCTTTTTCTCCTGACAATGATATTACCAATGCTAAGTGCAAATACCACAAAGAGCAAGTAGTTATATCAAATTTGCATGAGATAGGATCATTTGCAAATACCATAAAAGCAATAAGAAAGCTGAAGACATAGAATAGATTAGAATATGAAATATGAAAAAACCTTGTTTACACTCTAGAGGTCACATTTTTGACTCAATTATCATCAAACTTGGTCAGGATGCTTGTCTAGGTAATTGCTCAGATAAGTTCGAACATGGGTCATCTCGCATGAAAAACTAGGTCACCGAAGCTAAAAATAGAAAAATCTTGTTAACACTCTAGTGGCTACTGTTTTGATCCAAATATTCTGGAAATCGGTCTGAAAGTTTGTTTATTGATTACTAGGTCAAGTTCGAATATGGGTCACCTGGGTAAAATCTAGGTCACACTGCACAAATATGGATAGTCCTTGTTAACACTCTAGTGGTCACATTGTTGACTCACTTTCATGAAACTTGGTCAGAATCCTTGTCTAGGTGATTGTTCGGATGAGTTTGATGGGTCAGGTGAGCAATCGAGGGCCATCATGGCCCTCTTGTTAATAGATATTCTGTAATGCTCTTATATGACTGAACAAATCCTCAAAAGTATAGAAACTGAAATAATTAATTGAAAAATGAAACAAAACAAAATCGTCGAAGCGGACTGTGAACATAGACGTCCGAGTATACACAATTCCATATGTTGTATTTCTAATTTAAAATAGAAATCCGGTGCTTTGCAATATATTTAAGTGACTGACAAATTGTTTATAAAGATGTTTAAGAACATTTACAATTTAGTTAGTCTGTTTAAGAAAAGTTGTTATAAAATATAATAAATAACTGAGTAACAAATTATGGTAAAAAGTTTTTAATCGTTGTAAGATAATATTAGACTGCATGTGTAAAGATTGAAATGAATGTGAAATATAACTGAGATTCCTCAAAATAACTTGATATTCTCAATCATGAAAGATGCTTATGTCATTGTAGTTTTTCACGTGATTTATCGAAATAAAGATAGCATATTATTTCCCCTTAATCTTATTTTTTCTCTTTTCTATCATGAATAAAACACCATGTATTACCGAATCAACAGGAAGAAAAGGAGAGATTGTGGTTAGACAGTGAGAGATGTAATAACCGATAATTATTATTTATTATTATACGTTATATATAAAACATTCAATAAATCAAAGTACTAGAAAACGTGCGAAGTGTTGAAGCTACGAAATATGTATGAATGTAGAAGGTATCTTTAAAAAGTCACATGGTATAAAGTTATCTCAATTTATAATAGTGTACATACACTAAGCAAAGAAGTGTGCAAATGTTCTGCCAAAAAAAGTCTGTAACAGCAACAGTTAGATCAAACAATATCTCGTTTTTGAAAGATTATATGTCTTCGCAAATACTTTTTCATTTAAATATAATTATTCTTTTAAACATAATATCATTCTATATTAAAATTTAATATTCTATTGGTACATGTGCTACGTGCATGAGTTATAATCACAAATGATGGTGTAAAATCTATCATAAAACCTGAATTATATCTGTTTTTTCTTCATGCGCAATTTGTTAAATTTTCGATATTTTTTAACAAATCAAGAAATACATTTACTGAAATTCCAAGCTGCGTGATGAGGCATCGTCTTTTTAAAAAAGCAGTTAAATTGAATTGTTTATTTAAAAGATGATTTTGGCTCAACTCGGGTATTAGAAACCATTGGATCAAAACAACCACATGTTCTAGAGCTAATTTATTTGATGACTTTCCTTATTCGATTCTATTTATGATTCTCTTACGATTACGCATGGACAAAAGGCGGCTGTAACCTTATGCCTTATTTACAAAAAAAAACAGTAATTGAGAAAAAAGTATTATTAATTGAAAATAATGAAACAACATTTCTCTGAATGACTTTAAAATGATTCAAGTGTATATTAATTCTATGGCAACCAATTTTATTGATTTCAAGTCCAAGTACTTAAGTTAAAAGCTTTTGGCATGTTTTTCAATAATTCTCATTTACTGCAAATTGCAATCATTAAAAATTATTAATTGCATTGCGGTCGTCATTTATATCATTAAAAGCAATTAGTTTCATTTTTGCACGAGATGGCAGCAGGTAAATAAAGTTATTAATAAATTATTTCAAATCAATTTCGATTTCATACGGCGCGTATATGCCAGAAGTGACTTTTTCGAAGCTTAAACATATCGATTAATATGAACGTTAACTACTTACATCTAATGATATTTACTCTTTAGCATAAATATTTATTTACGAAGCAATAAATATTAGGGGTAGTGTTTTCTCGTGCAGCATGTTCCACAATATTTATTTGGTAGCTCTTACCTATCTTAGATATTGTTCAATGTCATTTTTTGGCCCCTATCTCTCTGTTATCCTTTCTATTTGTTTTGTTATTGTTCCACTTAATAGAAATCTTTCGCAGATGTTGTTGTGAATATGTTAGATGAATTGCTATATGAGTTATCAATATCAATTTAATCAGGATCTAGTAAATAAGTTGTTTTTTTTAAATTTGGTTTTGTTATTCATGTAATTAAAAAGAAAAAAAATATAAAGAAAGCATATGATTATTTATATTAAAAAAAAAACAATTTTTTTCAACTGCGTACCGTTTTAGTTTTAAAATTCAAAATTTAGCCACTTCATGTTTAAATGTTGAATTCTGCTTAAGCCGATGCTAAGGGCGTGGACGGTAGTTTGCACTTGACAGTACCTTCCATGAATAGGCTCAATCAAACTGAGCCTACAACATTTTCATTTTGCCGTTTTGGGCTTTCTTTAGGGATTCGTTTTCTCTATTTTATATATATGTATTATGTAATTCATCAAGTTTTCATTTTTCTTTCTCAATATCAATTAAATCTTTAAATTGCATTGTTTGTAAAAGCTAATCACGTGATTCAGGAAATGAGGATAAAACTCACTTCAAACATCGTGCTTCTTGATTCATATTAATTTGTATGACAATTTTGAAGAAAGGTATTAAAAAGCAGAATGTTTTTAAAGTTGACAAAGAAAGTAATTTACAAATTGCAAACGTCACTTATTGCCTAAAAAAATTACCTAAGAAAAATCACATGCCAAAAGGGCCCTTACTGCGTTAATCCTGTTGTAAAAATGTGGTGAAAAATACTCCAAAAAAGTTATTTATTGCATTAAACATGTAAATATTATTACTTAAATTGTAAAAAAGTACTTTTTTTAAAAATTTTACTGCATGTTACTTAAAAATTTTGGAGGCATGTAATTTTAACATAGCTTTGACATACCTTAAATATCTTATCTTGTGCTGTTCACTTTCATCAAGTTTATCCACGTGACAGTCATGTTTCTGTTTATCCTGTTTATCACTTCCCTTTCTACGGAATGAAAATCTGTTCCCAGATATTCTGTCCATTTCTCTGTAGTTTTGTTACTATGTCAAATGTTATACAAACTTTAAGTAGGAGGTTTTTGAATTGTGGTAGTTCTAGTGGTGTTTTTCACAAGTAAATAAGAAGAAAAAAATATTTATTGGACTATATACTTTCCATGTGAACTTTCTGCGTTTGTTGTAACAACTGGCATATAAATACAATGAAACTTCATATAGTTATTATTATTATTATTGACCAGAAATATTCATGAACGTAGATCTTTGTCCACTTTCAAAACCCAACGGTATATTAAATAATGAAATACTCCAAAAAGCGTTAAATCGAACTAATTTGTGACACATTACAAATCAGTGCTAGATGTTGCTATTCATCTTATCCACTTATTGTTAAAGAATGTGAAACTAAAACACACTAAAGATGGAGTATGGTTCTGGTGTCAATATGGTATTGGTTATTTCCAGCTACTAAAGGAAATATGCAATGGTTATTGATAGGGATGCCACTTCAGCATAAATTGCCGATAAAGCTTTTCATGTTAATTCCATTGCTA